TCTTTGGTGATGAGAGCGTCACCTCAGAAGGAAGAATGGCACTATTACATTAACTATTAGTACGGAAGCAAGATAGTGATGGGAAGCTAGTAAGGCTTCAGACCAAACTGTGAACCATTTAGACCTAATGTAACAACGGATGGTAGGAAAAGTGTATGTTTGGCCAAGTAGTCTGAAAGTATAAGCAGAGGGCATGAGTTTCTTTAAGATTTGGGAACAGCTTTATCAGAAATGACTATACATGTGATCCAGTGTCTCGTAAATGGTAGAATACATTAAGTCCATTAACTGTTCCTTGAACAGAAGGGTGGCTTGCTTAATTACGTTCTTTAAAACATCTTCCAACTTTTGGTCCTTCTTAGAAGGACAATCTGGACGTTTATGTCCTCTAACACCACACAAATGACAAACAGGAATAAAAGAAGTCATTTTACTTCTCACTAGAGGATTTGATTTCTTAAGGTCTGATGAACACTTGCCACTTAGGGTTTTTTGATCCTTTAGGTTTTATAGGTTTTGTGTGCCTCCAGCCTACAGGTCAGAGCCTCAGCAACTTCCTCCCCCCCCCCCCCCCAGCTTTTATCAGTTACGTTCTCTGATGAATGTTCGTATTGATGGGGAGAGCTGTCGGAACTGTCAGCAACCATGAAGTCTCGAGAGATTCATAAACTGTGATCAATTCCTGAACTCTTATCCAAAAAGTCGAACAAACGAATAAAGCGATTACCTGTAACTGTTGAAAGTTCTGGCCAGGCTGTATTACGTTGGCATTCCTGAAATCTATCTGTAGAATAGTTGTTTTTTTTTTGATATGCTTTAAGGATTGCCTTCTTCAGTAGGTTATAATTAACATATGATATCCTGCGACAGAGTTGCATAGAATATTCAAGGATGTACCAGAAAATACATTTCCTAACCTGAGTGCCCAGGTGTAGCAGGCAATTCACAGGAGTACGGTATTTTCAAAACCTGATTAATGTATGAAGTTATGTCTTCCCCCTCTGTGAAGGGAGGTGTAAAATTATGGTGTTGGATTGTGCACTAGCTGCAGTTGTTCCATTACTCCTTAATTAATTGCTGTTGTGGAAAGTTTAACTTCTTATTCTCTAATTCAAGGCGAGTTTGTTCGAGCTCACATTCATTTTCTCTCTCCCTTAACTCATAATTCTCTGTCTTTTGACTTCTTTCAATCAAGTTCCCCAATTTAAACCTGTTTCTTCCGTATCTTTGCTTGTTCCTCACGTACTCTTGCTCTCTCCTCCGATCAAGTCTATCACGCTCCTTTTGTATTTCTCTTTCGATTCTCAATTTTCCTTATTCTCTTCTCTTTCTATTCTCTCTATCTCCTTTTCCTTCTTTCTTTCCCTTTCGAACTGTCTTCTTTTCTTTCAATTCTCTCTCTTTCAAGTCTTTTCATGGATCTTAGCACTAAATGAAAGTTTCTAAAATTTTTCCTTTTAATTACTAACTTATTTCAGCTTATCAAAACTGGTATTCATCCATAACTTGCAAGAAATAACTTAATTTACAAGGGGAAATGAAAACGGGTATTAAAGAAAAACATGAGGGTTCAATTCCTGCTCCGCTCAAACTGTAAATAAACCAGAGGGCTCGATCCCTGCTTCAATTAAACAATATGTATTAACGAAAACAATGGGTTCTATGCCGGCTCTGAGCAAACAGTAAGTAGAATGGAGCGTCCTGGAGGTATTACGGGACTACGCCCCGCGGCCGGTTCCATGACCAGGCCCTCCCTTGACCATCCACTCTTTCACCAAACAACTCCAAGAGATGTCTAATGACAGTTCCCTATATAATAACTGAGCTCAATGAAACAAGTTGTCACTGGAAATCTCGGGTCCCTGAGAGTCTATTCTCAAAATGTTTCAAGCTCACATGATATGGATGGCAGAATGTAATATTATATCCTGCTGACTTGACTTACAATAAATTGAGACTATAACAATCACCAAATCTTTTAAATAACTGTACCGATAGTCTATCCATGAGGATGATTACTCGTGGCTGGTGGTAAACCGTCTGTGGTATGCGGCGTTGAAAAGTTCCAATGGCAGATTCGAGATGGATTTGGTGAATCTTGATTCAGTAGAGTTTGATCCTGGCAAGGTCGCCACTTGTGAAGACTTTCTCAGCTTGTAACAACTTCAGTCAGTATTACTCAGGCTGGCTCCTCCTCAGGAAATTAGTGAATAGCAAAAGTAAATAATAACAGACAAACATCAAACACTTTTATATAGAAAATATAAAATATAAAAACATTAAATATGAAATATTAATCTACATTAAAGAAAATGAAAAATGAAAATATAAATGATAACTGATTTCAACGCTATAGGGGGTGTCTGTGTGTTGTGGTGACACTGTGTTGTTGAAATCGGTTAGCGTTGCTGATGATGGGGGGCGGTCGCAGGTGTTGGTGAACACTTGGCTAGTTCTTCAACAGAAGATAGAGAACTTGAAATTCTATCCCGATGACGGAATGAGGTTCTTTAACGCTGCAATTGATGAGGGGTTACGTCCTGCATTTCATACAGGTACACAGGTAGTAAAATATGGTGAAGTATATGGACGTTAGTCCTTCCTCCGGTTCGCTCGTTGATTGCAAGGTGACCCTCACTGACATCGAGCTGAAGATAGACAGGTTACCCATGCTTAAATAATCACTCTCCATGGTAAATCTGATACTTAACTGATGTGGTGATTATTACAAACAGTCAAAATAGAGCAAGGTGAAAGGACTAAGTTTATTATTGATCAAAAAGTGAAGCTTTCAACCAATAATCCCCTAGAATACAAGGCAGGGCATGTACTTTCAGTAGTGTTGGGAGTGTGAGTAGAGTGATTTACTGTTTGACCAGAGCCCACACGTCACCTTTCGGGGGGGGGGGGAAAGAGGGAGGGGAAGGGATAGCGGGAGCTAGGCTGACCCTATCTAAACAAGCTGAAGGCAGGTCAAACTTCACTTTTAGGGGGTGTGGCGGGAGTAATAGGCGGGAAAAAAGGGAGCGTGGACTTACCCTAACTTAACTAGTAACCGGCAGACACCAAACTATCAATTTCGGGGAGGGGGGAGGAGGGGGTCGAAAGGACGGAGCGTGACTTACTACCCTTAACTAGTAGTCGGTATGGAACTATCGTTACTATTATCTCTACTCCTATCTATTGAACTTTTCCCTCCACAAGCATCCCTCTTCAGTGCAGACACTGTACTTCCCATCTCAGACTCAAGTCCCGGCCTTCCAGTTCCCTAGGAATCACCTTATAAATGATACCTTGCTCACACTCTAATAGCACATCTAGTCCTGAAAAACCATTTGTCTTATTCACTCTGTACATTTATAATGTTTAAAATGAAGTTCAAGATATTATATATAAGACTTACACAACAACAGGTGGTACCTAATTACAATGAGCTTGTATTGACTACTTTAAATTTTTTACGTAAGATTATATTTCTCATTAATTCTCAACTATGGCTTTTTAGTTGTAAAGGTTTGTCAGTGATAGTGAGTATCTAGGAACCCTCATGTTTATTACTCTGTAGTTGCTTTGTTTACAAATGACATTTAATAAATATGTGGTCTCAGCATGTTAAGTACAAGTTGGCCATTCTCTAATCCAGCTTCCATGGAGCTGTAATGGGCCAGAATAGTGATTTGCGATTACAGAGTGTATAGGTTAGAATACACTTAACCCAATGGCGATATTTACATATTGGCAGTTTCACCACTTTACGCCCTATTTTTGGCCAGTCCATTGTTCGTCTACCAAATGATACCTATTTTGCTAGTATTCCCTTCTATTCTGTCGACTGAGTACAAGAATCCTCCATTCACCTATTTTCAACTACCAATTAAAGTGGTCAGAAATTTGGTAATTTTGCCAATTTCACACAAATTTCAAAAGATGCCCATTTTTCAAGGGGGGGTCATGGCATCTGAATAAACACTGCCAGACATTCCTTGCAACTAAAAACTTTTATAGTTCATTAGTCACATCTTCAGGCCCCTCTTATATTGCTCTTGCTTTCCACTTTTGAATTTTTATTCCAACACACAAAAAATAAAAGATTTACTTTTATGCAGACTACTGCATTGTTGTAATAATTGTATAAATAATGTTAGCCCATTCATGACTGTGTATTAGACCAGCTAGCTGGACATGTATTGGATGGTGACGTCATTTGTTTACTCTTGAACATTGGCAAAAATCGAACATTTCCACTACATTGAGCTCAATCAAAATTATATCTATTTTCTGTAAAATATGTTCCATTTTATCAAATGAGACAAAAAAAATGAGAATACAATCATACAAACCATTCAAAAATACACCACAAATCAGGTTTACACCATAAAACACTGTCAGTTTTTTTTCTCATTATGCACTGTGTGGTGTAGAATTTTTTTTTATATAGTGCACACTTACCACACAAGACAAATTCTCTCATATGTAGGCCCAAGTTTACCGGTCACAGCTTATCTGAGTGAGCTGAGCTCATGGTGACCGACAGTGGCTTCAAAGCCACCTTGTCTTTCGTGGACAATGTATGGTGTTTGTGCTTTACACAATGAGAAGCATTTCTTTTATTCGTTGGAACCATGGCTAGGGCTAAAAGTAAGTTATAACAATAAATGGAGAAAAAGAAATTGGAATGACTTATGCAGCAAGTAGCCACACCAAACACTAGTGGCAGGATGGTGTGACAACCCCAGAAATTTGAAGTTATGTTAGCCAAAATTAGTGCTGGATTACTGATGGAACAAATTACTGACTGCCGGATTAGTGAGGGCCAACCCGTATTACAAGTAGACATATGCTCAAACAGAAATTTTAATATAATTTGTATCCTTTTACCTTTAAGTCTTAAGGCACAATTTTAAACTTTCCCAGCATCACATAACCATCTTATTCTTGACCTGCATATTCTAATGTATGTTTACTGATAAGCATTATTTTAAATTATGTGCAGGTTTTAACAGTCTTGATGCCGGTGCAACATGTATAGCTGTCAGAGTGGATCTTGGCATATTAGAATTCAGATTGTTGACAATGGCGATGGAGTACATCATGGAGATCTCAAGTATTTGGGAACTAGGTAAGATATGACATTGTTCATGATGGGATTGGCATGAATGTGCAAAGACAAACTTTAAGTTCTCTACACATGCTCTTTGCAAACTATTATACATTATATAATGACTGTAATAAATACAAATTAGTTTAGTAACATATGATAAGTTAGTTGGTTTTTCTAGGATACCCAAAAAATCAAGCAGTGTGAATTATTTCCATTGAGTCCTGAGTCCTCTTAATTAGGCTTAAAACTTGTGTAATTTTTTTGCTCTAAATTAAGTCATGCATAATTAAAAGATTTTTAATCTTTTAATTTTTTTTTTTCTAATTTGGTCATCAGGATACAGTATTTATCTTTCATAATTCTTAGGTTTTCTTCAGAATACTATAGTTTGATTTAAAAACATAGTCACCTTCCAGTGGCAGTACCACAGTTGACAGATTGGTTTTAAAAGTTTAGTCACTTGTCTGGTTTGTTGAGGGAAGACTGTGGCTCATGCCACATGTTGCTCCATCTGTTTGCAAAGTAGTAAACTCCAGGTGGTAGCATTGTGATCACCATTCAAGTGTATTGCAATTTTATTGTAAGGTGGTTTGATTTGGGAACAATAGCAAATAATCTGTTGTCTACTTACAATTGCAGGCATGCAACCAGCAAGTGTCATAGTCTGGTTGATCTTAATAGTAGTCTATCATATTATGGGTTCCGAGGAGAAGCACTGGCAAGCATCGTTGATATGGCAGCCATTGTTGATGTCACTACTAAACCCCGGGGTTCTACAAAAACTTACACAAAACTCTTCACGTATGGGACAGAAAAATCAGTTAGTATAGCTGAGACTCCGAGACCAAGTACAGGTACCACTTTAACAGTTCAGGACTTTATGTATAACATGCCAGTTAGAAGAAAAATAATTAAAGAAGCTATCGATATTGAAAGCATAAGAAAACGCTTGGAAAGCTTTGCTTTAATGCACCCCAAAGTCTCATTCAGCTTGAGAAATGATAAGGCTAGAACAGTGATTATGCAGACCTCCAAGAGTAGTGGTACAATGTCAACATTTTTGCAGCTCTTTGGCTCAGAAAAAGCACGGGCACTTGGTGAAATAATGCATACAGTTGACCAATTTACAGTCTCAGGCTATATAAGCACACAACCACATTTGACAAAGGCTCTCCAGTTTGTCTATGTTAATAAAAGGGTTGTGCTAAAGACCAAGATACATAAAATGCTTAATTGGTTACTTGCTAGAAGTTCTATCATTAGTACTAGACTCCATCCAAGTAGTTCAGGCTCGGGAAAAAATCCTTCAAGTCCAGCAAAAGGTATGAATCTTTATGGGATATTTGTGATCAATATTGAATGCCCTTACAGCGAGTATGATATATGTCTCGAGCCAACCAAAACTCTAGTAGAATTCAAGGACTGGGATAAACTATTACTTTGTGTTGAGGAGACTGTAATCAAATTCATCCAAGAAGAAAACTTGACAATTTCAATTGATGAAAGGTATCGGAGATCTGGTAAAGACCAAGAAGTTGACGAAGAAGGAAGCTTGCCCATGACCCAAAGTAGTCCCTCCCTCCTTGATATGTTTAGCCTCAAAAGGTGTGGAGGAGAAAGCAATGTAACAGGAGGAGTGTGTCAAGAAAAATATGGACAAAATTTATGTACCCAGGACAACTTATTAGCTATTCACAGCCTTCCAGTCAAAAGAGCTAAGAAAAATTATGACGTTGAAATGTTTGATAAAACTGATACCAATGAACACAATAAAGACTTCATTGATAAACATAAAAATGCAAAACAAGGTAACACATTTTCCAATAATAATAATAGTGGGAAAAATATAATTGATCAAGTTGTACATGTAGATCACAGTTCACCACAACCCCCAAGCTACATATCTGAATCAGAGTATTCATCATTGAATATAAGCACTATTAGTAATAGTAATTGCAAAGATATTCCAGAATCAGAAAATACCAATACAGTTGGAATGGCCAGCACTTTAGAGGAGTTTAAAAATTTTATAGACAACAGTAATTTTGAAAGTACTGAATTGCTAAGAAGGGAATGTACCTCAAGTCTGCATCAAGATGATAAAAATACAAAAATGCAATTGCTAAAAAAGACTTCAGATATTCCTGAGAATCAGGAATGTGAAAATAAACCAAAGGATGATTTCACTGATAATATGAGTTCCTTAGAAGAATTCATGAATTTCTATAATGCTGATAAAAAGAACAGTGAACTTGAATTATACAGGACTCCTAAGCAAGCCATGAGACATACGCCTTCATCACCACCACCATTAAAACTCACAAGAAGTTCTCTTTCTGCTTTTGAGAAAATGGAAGATAATTCATGCTTTACTTCTAATTTAGGGTCAGATGTTACACAAAAGAATAGAAAATCACTTAGTGAAACTCTGAGTAACCAATTTAAAAAACACCAAACAAAAACCAAGGCAATCCAAACTCTCCAAAATTTTGGTTACCAGAAAACAAGTGTAATACAGCATATGTCTGTGAATAAAATCAAATTACCTCAGCAGAAAGATAATGGCAAGAGGTGTGATAACATTCAACTTGCTGTACCACTTCAGAGAGAAGCTGAGGTTAATGTGCTGGCAGCTGAAGTCATGCAAAACAAAAAAATTAACGAAGATAATATTAAAGACCACAATAATAGCTTCAGGTTTCAGCCAGTTACTTCAAAGAACAATAAACTAGAGAATAACAAGGAGTATTTATTGAGTGAAGAAGGTTGCAGGGAAAATCTGTTGACACATGTCAGTTTTTCTTGTGGTAGCAAATCTAAAAGACAGGATTTTCCTTCAAGCATTAGGATAGATCCCTGTGTGTCTCATTTACATTCTGATGATTATTGTTGTAATGAATTGGTTCATAAGATAAATCTAGAAAGAAGTGAGGTCCTCCCTAATACAAAAAACATTATTACATGCTCTGAAGTTATTCCTAATTCCACCTTAGAGCAACAAGACAGATGCCTAATTAGTGAGAGTGTAATAGCCTTTGAAAATGAGAAATCACATTGCCAGGTAATCAATGAACAAACCTCTCAGAGTCACGTAGAAAATGAAAGTGGAGACATTGAAAGATGTGATCCAGTAAGACCCAGTAGTAAAACCTTTACACCACTGGATACTTTAAAAAACAATGGCACTCTTAGTAAAAATTTAACACTATGTGAGAGACGACTAGAGAACAGAATACTTCCGTTAGAAAAAGATACGGAGCATGACCCACATTTATGTAACGTGTCATCTTTGTTCCATGTAAGGGAAAAAAATTTAGTAGAAAGTTGTCAAAGATTTAGGTCAAAAGCTAATATAACTGAATTTAGCAGCAGTGAAAGAGAGACTGATAAGACTGACTGCTCACTTTCTTGTAATATTATATCTTCTGCTTCTCAGCCTTCTCAGTTTGAAAATTTCTCTTGTAATAATGAAGTTGTGCAGGATATTAATGACACTTCTATTCAAGAATCTCAAGGTTTTACACTTCCAGATTTAAATCCAAATTTACAAAATGAGAAAGTATACAGCAGTTTGAGTTGTGGAACCCAAGAAGAAAATACCAGTGCTGCTATACAGAGCTCTGAAGGTTTTATACTCCCAGATTTAAGTGATCCTTTATGTTGTGACAGTTCAATAACAGCAACTCATGATACTCTTGATAAATCTCCAGAAAAAAATCTTGTTATTTCTCAAAAAACAAATGATGCTTTGGGAAGTGCACATTCTACAGCTGCTGATGAGAATGGAAGCAGTACTCACAAAGAATCTGACCAGATGCATATTTTACACCAAGGGCATAAAGAAGAAAAACATGAGAGTGCAAATCATTGTGATATCAAATCACAACCTATTAGGGATAACTGCAGCATAAAGCTTTTACTTGAAAATAGCATTCACAATCAGATTTCACAAAATTGTGATGATAAATTTGAAAAGGAGGAACAGCTACCATTATGTTCATTTGATATACAGCACAATACCATAAACATCTCAGAGAGTAGCAACAACCTAGCTGTTGTGGAAGGCAACTCCTCATTTTCCAAACTGACAAATCCACTCTCTGAATCACTTCATTTCTCTCAACTCACACTTCCAGAAGATTTGTCAGAGAGTCAGTCAGTATGTCAGGGAACATCCAGTATCAGCACCTGTGACTTAGAGAATATTGAATCTGCTGGTCTTGCTCTAGACAGCCTGTCTTCTTCAAGTGAAGGGATACAGAAAAAGCAACATGTATCATCATGTGAAATAACTTTTCATGGTAAAATGATTCATATTAGAGGAGGAAATGGAAAGCTAAATGTAGAAAAGGCTTATGAGGATTTACAGTGTACAGGATCATTAGAAACAACTTCAGGTAATTTGAAGGTAAGTATGAAAAGTCCTAATTCGAGCTGTGGACTTCTTAATAATAAAGCTGAAGAAAATAGAATTAATGACAAAGATAAATCTGTGACTGTAAATTATGAAAATAATAATAATAATACTAGGACACTATGTTCTTTAATAGAAAATACTAATGACAAGTCAGATAGTGCCCAAGATGATAACAGCCAACAAGATGACAGTGCAGGTAATAAGTGGAAGGAAGTGTGTGATACAAATGGAAGGAAAGTTTACGTTCATCTTCAAACAGGAAATACATCATATGACCCACCACCACAGGTACATTGTCCAGAGTGGACAAGTAGTCAGCCTCTTGGAGGTCCTCTTCTCAAGGTGCCATTGACACATGAACCTTGGCACAATCCATTAGGAAAGACTACAGCAGATGGGCAGGCTTTTACTCTTAGCCATGGGTTTAGTGCTTTTATATCATGGAAAAAAAATAGGGATCTTGAAAAAAAGTTGGATTTGAGTAAACAAGATAAATATTCTACTAGGTCAAGTTTTAATTCAATAAAGAATACAGATAACATAGAGAGTAGTATTAAAGTAAAGGACAGTGACAAACTTACTGATATGAGTGAAGATGACTTGCTTATGAGCACTGAAGTGCAAGAAGCAGTAACCTCGCTACTCAAAGACTGTGAAACCGACGAAGACACAATCAAGTGGTCAAGTAAACCAACAGATATCCACCAAGACCATTCAGAACCATCCAAAGTAGCACAGGTTTGCCAAATGTGGGAAGCTCCGAAGTTTGCAATGGATGCTGATGTACTAACCTCAGAAGTTCAGACAACAAGAGGAGCAATAACCAACGCTGGGGCAGTGGTCAGAGTGTACAACATTGTCCACCCTTACAAGTTTTCCAGAGAAATGCTTCAGTCTTGTAAGGTAAATATACAGTATTACTAATTCAGAAGGTAGTTTCATTGAATGTAATGAGTAAGGTCAGGATGCATTAATGGTAAACAGCATTTCCTGAAGGAAGAAATACAAATACACATGTGTCAAATTACTAATGTTGAAATGATGTGAAAAATATTGACTTTTGTCAATATGAAATTGTGTTTGTACATGTGTACACTTGTGTACTCTACTGTAATTACCTATTTGAGTTTGCAAGAGTTTCACTCTAGTTTTTAGTCACTCTTCTTAATTTTTGATCGACTAACATGAAATGGCCCTGTCATATCTATTTTTGACCCCCCTCTATGGAGCTTGCTCACACATTTATTGCTCAGTTCATTTCACTTCTTTACTAATTTTATGTGGAACAAATGTTTTCTAATGTTCCCATGATTCATTTGGGCATGTGGTGTTCATACTTTGAAAAAGGCATGGTTAATAGGGAAAAGCTCAAAGATGAGCCTCAAAATGGCTCGGAGAGCTAAAAAAAAAAAATTGGCTTACAAAGAATGGCTGAAAATGTTAAAAGTGATATCATTCACTGAATGGAGGGAAAGGCAAAACATGATAACTAGTTTAAGGTCATAAAAGGATCAAAAGAATAGCTAAGAGTAATTTCTTAGCCTCAAGAGACCACGGTTGTAAATCAGGAAAAGTGTTGAGAAAGGACGCAGAGAGCCCCCCTTTTTTTTTTACATATAGTGGTAGCACAATGAACTTGGCTATAAGTGGAGATAGCAAGTACTACAACTATTGGAAATGAAAAATTTATGTGATACATTTAATACCAAAGCCGAGGCACTGCAAGCATAGCCTCTGCTCTTGTAATTACAAATGGGTAATTACACATTGATAGTACAGTAACAGTGGTCCTGTCCAAGTAGGATTGGTGTGGATTTTTTTTATTTTTCCATTGCTCTAATTCCTGTTTGTTAACCCTTTGACGGTCCAAGCCGTAGATCTACGCCTTGTCCACAGGGACCAAGAATTTTCAGAAAATTTTTTTTTAATTTTTTTCTTATGAAATGGTAGATAATCATTTTCTGAAGGTAATAAAACAAAAAGTACAAAATTTGGTTGAAAACTGATGAAATTACACTATCACAAATTTTACTGTGTCAGCAATATTTATGCATTGACAATTTTGCCCACTTTGACTCCTATTTTAGGCCAATTACATTATTTCAGTCAACCAAATTCTTAGCTATTTCATTAGTATTACATCTATTTTATCAATTGAGCACAAGAAACTGCCCAGTCAACTATTTCAACTACCTAATAAAGTGATCAGAAGCTGGTAATTTGGCCATTTTCACACAAAGTTCAAAATATTCCAATTTCAAAATAGGTCCAGAATAAACAGTGCAGGCATTTCTGGCACTAAAATAACATTTCTTCTGTTTATTAGTTATATTTCCAGGCTTTACAGATGAATTCCATTTTGATTTTTTATTTACATAAAGAATTTTTATTCACACCAAAATATAGAAGAATTACTCCTATGCAATATTGTAATAATTGTATGAACTATATCAATGCATTTGTTAACATATATTAGACCCACCAGTTGACATGTATTGGATGTGTGATGTGATTTGTTTACTCTTGAACATTGGCAAAAATCAAACATTTCTGCTACTTTGAGCTCAATTTCAGGCTATTTTGAATACTTAAACCAATCAATATCATTTCTATTTCTGTAATATATCTTCCATTCTATCAAATGAGACCAAGAAACTGCATATACAACCATAAAAACCATACGAAAATACACCGCAAAGTCACTGTTTTAATCCAAAACACGGTCGTAGTTTTTTTTCTCATGCACTACGTGCTTCAGGATTTGTTTTATATGGTGCACACTTACCACATAGATCCATTCTCTCATATCTAGGCCCAAATTTACCAATCACAGCTTATCTGAGTGAGCTAAGCTCATGGTGTAGAACTATGGTGCGGACCTTGTGGACAAGTCACTATGGCTTGGACCCTCAGAGAGCTTTAAAGAGACTGGTTAATTTTGTCAAGAAAAAGATTTGAGTTTGAAATTAAAATATTCTCTCTATAAAGTGAAGGTTTACTTTTTTACCAGATATAGTGAAACATGTGCTTATACATTATTATTATAATCATGGGGGAGCGCTAAACCTGTAGGATTATACAGCGCATGCAGGGGGGGGGTATGGAAGGTATTCAGGCTCAATTCAGGGAACTGGAGCACAGATCCAATTCCCTAGATCAAGAGCCCCTCACCAGCGTCAAGGAACCTCCCTTGAGGGGCCATGTGCTTATACAAAAATAGATTTAAAACAATTGCTGTTTTCTAACCACTAGTCTGTTTTACTAACCTTGTCTACTTTGTTCAGGCTTAGCTAAAAACTAACTATTGTTTCTGATAGGGATCCAGTAATATTATGTTCTGTACTGTAATAAAATCATTATGTGTTTATTAGGCAAATCAATATGGCATTTCTGTATTGGACTTCGACAGTCTCTGAAAATTCTATAACATAAGTATGGAAATCAGCATTTCATTATCAGGAGTGTATGGGGGAAGTTACCTATTTCCCATGAAGCTTTGTAATTGAAAATTGTAGTTCTCAAAATGCAACAGTTATTAATAAAAAATTACAGTATTTGCAGACTAAATTCTCAGTTAATTTTAAAGCTCAGCCCTATCTGAGGTACACTGCTACCCCCAGGATGCCACAGATAACAGTATATTTCTTTATTTGTTTTATGTATGGGGTCTTACCTTGAGCTTAATGACAGCTCTGCTTACATTCATGATTCTCAGCCCTCACTTCATTACTGTGGAAACTAGTTGCTATTGCTTCATATCTCTCTTTAAGATCCTTCAACTTATAAAAGATATTAAGTTATGTAAAATGAATGTGTAATGGTTGATGGGTTTTTTCCTTGTTTGTGGGTTCCCTACCTCTGTGGGAAACACTAAGGAAAGTGTTTAGTTATGAAATAATTAGTTCAAGCATTGCTTTATCTGTATTTTTTTAGTACAAGCTTAAAACATTTTAAATGGAGACATTATGCTTATTGAAAACTTGAGGATAAATCTGTGAAGGATGCTATAGAAAATGCTAGCTACTTTGACTATTGATATCTGTTGAATGTTTTGAATACAAAACCGCCATTAGCAGAAGGCATGTTGTGAGGATGAAAACTGATATGCCATTCAGCCATTTCCTAACAAAGTAGCTGTAACTTCTCAGAATGTGCAAATATCAACATTTCAAAAAACCCTTCCACCCAATATCCTCCCCTGCCCATCCTCAGAGTCAGGTACAGGTTAGCCATCACTAATCTGCTATCAGTAATCCGGTTCCATCAGCAATCACGCTCTAATTCGGCTAGCAAAATTAAAATTTCCAGGTCGCCATACAACCTGCCACTAATGTTTTGGTGGCACTACTTGCTGCTGAGTCCTTCCAATTTCTTTTTTCCTCCATTTTTAATGTTTTATCCTGCTCACTTTTAGCCATAGCCATGGTTCAGCAATGAATAAAAGAAATGCGTCTCATTGTGTAAAGCACGTACACTGTACATTGTCCATAAAAGATAAGGTGGCTCTGAACCACTGTCGATCACCAAAGCTCAAACAATCAGCATGCTTCATAATGGAAAAAAAAGCATCTGTGCCTTTGGTGTACAACAGCAATTTGTGGTGTATTTTTGTATGGTTGTAGTCCATGTTTTTTTTTTTCTCATTTGATAGAATGGAAGATATATCACAGAAATACAAATAAATTTTATTGGTATCAATGCAGGAAATTACCTTAAGAATGAGCGCAAAGTAGTGAAATGTTCAGTTTTTTGCCGATGTTGCAAGAGTAAACAAATGATGTCTACTCTTATCCAATACCATATCCAGGGGTTTTGGCCAATCAGATACGCTGTCAACGAATGGTTGACATTATTTTATAACAATTATTATTACAAAATTCAGTAGTCTACATAATAGTAAATCTTCTATTTTTGTTCAAATAAAAATTAAAATATGGAAAGCAAGCGTAATATAAGAGGGGCCTGAGATTTGCTAATGAACAAAAAAAATGAATATATTAGTGCTAGGAATGTCTGCATAGTTTGTTTTGGACCCTATTTTGAAACTGGCATCTATGCAATTTGTATGAAAATGGGCCAATTACCATTTCTAACCATTTATTGGTATTGAAATAGATAAATGGGTGTGTTCTTGTACTCAATCGACAGAATAGAAGGAATACTAGTGAAATACTATGATATGGTAACTGTAACACTGGAATGGGGCCAAAAATAGGGCGTAAAGTGGGCGAATTTGCCATGCGTAAATATAGCCGTTGGGTTAAGTGTATCTATTCTAACCTAACCAATCGTAAATCATGCAAAAATCACTAGTCCGACATCCTACAGTCCTGATGATTCCAGATTAGCAATGGGTCCAACTGTACTGTACTTCCCACCCCTCAGACTCCGAATTCAACTAACATTTTCTTTCCCTGAGTAATAACTAAAAGTTATTTTTTCACCCCTTAGTACTTGGACAGTTAGACAAAAAGTTTATAGCATGTACATCACAACCCAGCAGGAACAGATATCCTTGACATACACCCAGTGAGCTGATTGGCCTCTTCGACCAACCGCAAGTTCATGAGAGAGTTCGTTTAGAAGATATAGAAAAAAATTGTGAAAACTCAAACTCAGGGGAGTTTATATTCGAACTGCCCAATTACACCCTCTCCTTGAAAGTCACTTCCAGAGGATGAAGCAGATTGATATGGCATATTCTAAGTAGTTAATCACGAGTCTTCAGTTCACCCAGTAACAATAGGACATTACAAAACTCAGGGTACACACACTGACACTTTTTACTCCAAATTATAAAAATTTCTTGTATAGACCCCTTTGCCATATTTTATATTTCATAAAGTACAAACAAAAATATACATAAAATCAATAAATGACCGACATTGTTTTGCTTGTTTGTTTTATAATGAGGTGTTGTGCAGCAGAAAAGAATTAGCATCATATTCAAACAATGGAGAAAAATGCAGGCGTGAGGGAGAGAGGAACTCTGAAGCTAGTTACCAAACTATGTTATGGGGCTCTGAGACTCCCTAACTTACACACATAGAAGACACTAGTATGTACACACTTCCACAAACACCGAACATTAAGGAATGTATTCGATTATTAACCTGGATTTTGGCTGTGGTGATACTTATCCTTTTCTGCCATGCAATTCTTCATATGGTACAGTATAAAAATTGTGATTAAGTTTTTCTCTTAAGCAAAGACCCTTCCAGGGAGGTGCCATGATCCAAGGAATTGGAGCTACCTTTCACTTCCTCAGAGCAAACC